GCTGAGAAATGAGGATGCCCCATGCTCATAGCTAGTCAATCATTTGTCATATGATAGGGTCTAGCTATTATTTAATTATGCCTGCAGTCTCCAAGAAGCAATGACTAAGGGTAGTGGTGCAACATAGATGTATGACTCATTACCATTCTCACCATCCTTCTCCCAGATATCCTTAAATGCAGAAGTGTTCATTACAATATCCTACATGTTCCTTTCATGACAATTGTCCAAGTTTTTGTTTGATATGCATATTAAAGCTGGAGTCACAAATAATGACCTGGAAACAAACTCCTATTACCAAGCCAAAATGCACTAAGAGCTAAAACTTCCACAGAACCTGGGCTGTAGATAGCCAGGCAATACTGGGTACCCCATCTATTTTTGTTTACAAGAGTGCTGCCTTGGCCAGGCGCGGTGGCTCACGACTGTAGTCCCAGCACTTTGGGAAGCCGAGGCAGGTGGATCACCTGAGGTCAGGAGATCAAGGCTTAGCCTGGCCAACATGGTGAAATCCCGTCTCCACTAAAAATACAAAAAATTAGCCAGGCATTGTAGTGAGCACCTACAATCCCAACTACTCGGGAGGCTGAGGCAGGAGCATCGCTTGAACCTGGGAGTTGGAGGTTGCAGTGAGCCAAGATTGCGCCATTGCACTCCAGCCTGGGCGATAAGAGTGAAACTCCATCTAAAAAAAAAAAAAAAAAGAAAAGAAAAGAGTGCCGCCCTTGTTTAAGAAGACTAGTTGTTTTCTTAAAGTCTTACCCAAAAATATGGATCTCAATTTGGCCAACAATTTCAAATTAGCTGGGGTATGAGTAACACAATGTGTATTGTCTTTTCAGCCAAATGTCGATCTGCTGTGCGGAACCAACAATCCTTAATCTGCTGTTGTTCTTTCTCTATAGAGGCAGGTTGGGGTTGGCTCTCAGGGAGCCTCACTGTGACATCTCTTCATGGTGACGCTTGGGGGCCCTGAGCTCCTGAGAGTCTCGGGGCCTGGAACTGTGCCCCATCACTGGCCACTGATGAATTCTGTCCCAACCCTCAAACCAGGGGTGATGTGTTTCTCCCTCCAGAGAAAAAACTGCTGGGAAGGGAACTGAGACTATGACCACATCCATCCTAGACGTATTACATATGTATCTGAATGAATCACTGTCAAAGAAAGTGATTTTTTCATTTATATTAAGTAAGTCTTGTCCAGGCATTGTGATGGAGTATAAACAGAGGTCATTTCACATACACTTGAAGTACACATGTACACATGAAATTTATGAGAGAATCTCATGTACACTTAGGGTCAGTGCATTTTTCTGTAGGTATATTATAGGGCAATAAATATATTTTAAATATTTAAAAAACAAGTATAAAGATAAATTACTTTGACCATATGCTATATTTTGTTTTTCTCTGTTTGGGGATAGGAGACTTTGATTCTATTCGTCCCAATGCCATGTGGGCGGGCTTTCTAGTGGCAGCTCCAGTAGGCAAGGTTTCACATTTGTGTTCATAACTCTTCAACTCTCACATCTTGTGTTCTGTCACTGATGCCAAAAACCTTGCGGGGAGCCTCTGAAGCTGTGCCTACACCTCATCCAAGGGTGAGGAAACAGCCTCACAAGGACTTCGTGACTTCTCCCATCGGCTTAGTTCCTTTCTCCTCTGCATTTCCAGTTTCCAATTTGAGGTTGGATTTTAGGCCCTGTAGATACATGACAGGGCAGTGCTGCCTCAGAACTTCCTGTGGTGCCTCTAGGACATTGGTGACCCCCAAGAATCTTCTGCAAGTATTGATTACATTGACATCTATTTTTATAATAATCTTATCAAACTGATCTTCACAGATTTCTTTCACTTGAGATATAATTAATATGCCATACAATTCACCCTTCCAAAATATACAATTCAAGCCGGTGTGGTGACTCACACCGGCAATCCCAGCACTTTTGGAGGCCAAGGTGGGTGGATCACACTTGAGGTCAGGAGTTCGAGATCAGCATGGCCGACATGGTGAAACCCTGTCTCTACTAAAAATACAAAAATTAGCCAGCAGTAGTGGCTTGTACCTGTAATCCCAGCTACTCGGGAGGCTGACATGGGAGACTTTACTTGAACCCAGGAGGTGGAGGTTGCAGTGAGCTGAGATTGCACCACTGCACTCCATCCTGGGAGACCGATTGAGACTCCACCTCAAACAAACAAACAAAAACCAAAATATACAATTCAGTGATATTTAGTATATTCAGAAAGTTAAGCAAAGTTAGTGATGACCACTATCTAATTCCAAAACATCTTCATCACCCTCAAAACAAACTCATTAACAGTCACTCCCCATTCTCTCGTCCCTCCACCCTTGGCAACCAGTAATCTACTTGCTGTCTCTATAGATTTGCCTATTCTGGACATTTTGTATGCATGAAATCACACAATATGTGGCCTTTTTGTGAGCTTCTTTCCATCTGCATAAGGTTTTCAAGGTTCATCCATAGTGTAGCGTCTTCATTCCTTTCTTATGGGTGAATAATATTTCATTGTGTGGATACACGAGGTCTTCCTGGACTTCCACGTGAGATCAGTTCATTAACTGAGCTGCAAGGCTGTGAACACTGACATCATCTTGCACAACTGCTACAAAACCCCAATCCAAGTCTCATCACAGACTTCCCCTCACCCAAGCACCACCCATGTTGTTTTGGCAGCTCGGCCTTGCTGGTTTGAAGGAGCAGCACACTAGGGAAGGCAGAATTCCACTCTGGTTGACTTTGTGACACAGATCCTGGCAGCCTCGGGGCCCAGCCCCAGCCTCTGTATTTGCAAGAAGCTCTCACAGGTGGATCACTACACAGGAGGGGTTGAGAGCCATATCTGTATAATCAGTAATTCCTCCCAATTCCCTCTAGGTTCTTCTTTTATTTTTCTTTATTTTCTTTTTGAGATGAAGTCTTGCTCTGTCACCCAGGTCGGAGTGCAGTTGCACAGTTTCGGCTCACTGCAACCTCTGCCTCCTGGGTTCAAGCGATTCTCCTGCCTCAGCCTCCCTAGTAGCTGAGATTACAAGGGCATGCCACCACACCCAGCTAATTTTTGTATTTTTTTTTTTTTTTTTTTTAGTAGATACAGGGTTTCACCATGTTGGCCAGGCTGGTCTTGAACTCCTGACCTCAAGTGGTCCACTCGCCTTGGTCTCCCAAAGTGCTAGGATTACAAGCTGGGTTCCCCTTCTCAATGTAGAAAATTCTGTGTCCTCCTCTCCCCTTCCCTTTTCTTCCCTTCCCCCTATTCCAGTCTCTTTTTCAGGAAACATTTACTAAGCACCTCTTAGGTACTAGACACAGTTAGACACTGGGATCCAACATTAAAGAAGCCTGATTTGTGCCCTTCAGGGGATTCACAGTTGGGAAGACAGCTGGATCTCTAACAAAGTGAGCATGCTGACAGCTCAGCTCTGTAAGCAGGGGAGGGGAAGGTGGGACACAGGATTGCTCGGAGAGGTCAGGAAGGGCCCTGCAGAGGCAGTGACATTTGAGCTGAATCCTAAGAAAAAGCAAGCTCTCTGTGATGACATGACAGTTGGGGAAGAGCGTGTTCCAAGAGTGGGGACAGGAGATACAAAGTGTTGAGGATGGAAAGAGCATAATGTGCTCAGAGACATCCAAGGAATTCAGGTTCAGCTGTGAAAGGGTGACCACGGCCAGGGCGCAGGGTGCCAGGGCACAGTGGGTCTTATGAAGCACAGTAACAACTTTGAACTTGACCTAAGGGCTGAGGGCAGTTCTGAAGTATTTTAATCAGGGCAATGACATAATTTTTTAAATGAGTTCAAACCCTATAATTCCCACAGGCCCAAGAAAGTGAACTTTAGGTTGGCGCGGTGGCTCATGCCTGTAATCCCAGCACTTCGGGAGGCCAAGGCAGGCAGAACCCTTGAGCTTGGGAGTTCGAGACCAGCCTGGTCAACATGGCAAAACCCCATCTCTACAAAAAAAAAAATCAGTCAGGCAAGGTGATGTGCGCCTGTAGTTCCAGCTACTCAGGAGGCTAAAGTAGGAGAATCGCTTGAGCCTGGGTTGAGGATGCAGTGAGCCAAGATGGTGCCACTGCACTCTGGTCTGGGTGACAGAATGAAACCCTGTCTCAAAAAATCAAATTAATTCTTTAAAAAGAAAGTGAACTTCATTTTTTTTCTATGACTCTACCAAAATTTACTGCTGGGACTCTGAATTTTCAAGCCAGTGCCGTAATGCATTGGCTCTCAATGGCAACCCACTTTCCTTCGAGTGGGCTTCCTGTACTAAGGAGGCTGGAAAGTTAAAAGCTATAATTCCTAGGCTCCCTTGCAGCTAGTGCTCCAGGCAGGACTTAGGTTCCTCCTCTCAGCTGTATGTGAAAGATATGGAAGGTGGAAGAGAGGTAGAGGCCCCTGCCCTTTCTGCTATCAGGAGCAGTCACGAGGCATTCATAAAGGTCCAAGTCCAGTTACTGCTGACTTCATGAGTATTGAGAGGCAGGATGGGGGTCATCCTGTGTGACATGTTTTGTTTTGCCGGCACAGACCTACTTAAACTTAGTTGAATGGAGTAGCTCTAGAGCCAATAGTTGTAGCAATAGCCTCTAGACTCTCATCCTCCTGATTGTGGCCAACATGGTGCTCCCCAGGCTGCTCAGTGCCTGCTAGAGGTCAACTCTAGCCTGGTCTCGAGCACCTCCAATAATTTTTGTAGCACCCCATTGCTTATATTTCTGCTCTTTCTGTTCAAAGAGGGTGGTTTCTATTCTCTACAACTGCTACTTGACCGACACAGTGCTCGGGAGTCACTGCAGTTCCTGCTTGGTGTGGCCTCAACCAGTGCCACGTGAAACCAAGGCCTCTTTGTGAGGTCTGGGAAAGCAAAAGGTGTTCTCAGTTTCCAAGGACCGGGGTGGCTGTGCCTCTCACCATGACTCAGTGGAGAAGGGGAATTCCCTCAGATGCTGGATAGTCAAAAAAAATGACAAAGGTCTCCGATAAGAAATAAAAGTCCCTTTATTTTATATTCTACCCAAGGACAGCAATGCAATAAAGCGGTGGCCTTTTATCTGAGAGGGAGTTGCTCAAAAATGATAGAAGTGGCAAAAGCTCAGGGTCTGTGGGAAGTGCAGGGAGTTCCTCCCACCTCTCAAGTCTGGCGGCCTCCTTCTCTCCCTCCTCATCTGAGACAGGCAGCAGCCAGGAACCACTATGTCAGGGCTGGAGCCTCTAGGACAAGCCCCAGCAAGGTGGGGACTCAGCTCAGCACTGTCTCTGCAGGAACTGCAGGCCCACTTTCTTATTGGGAACCAGGACAATGCGGGCCACACTCTTCAACTCCCCCGTCTCTGGGGCCAGGACCACCTTGTACTTCTGGATCAGCTGGGGGGCAAAGAGCACATGTGGTTGGGTGGACTATGTGTTTGCCATCCACTCCCCACTCTGCACACTCCTACCCTGTGCCTCCCTTCCTCTCCTCCCAGGACTCCTCTACCCCTCCCTGCCCACACACCCTTCCAGTCTCTCCCAGCTCACCCTTGCCAGGAGTAGCTGCATCTCCAGCTCTGCAATCCTGCGGCCCAGGCAGGCCCGGACCCCATAGCCAAAGGGCATAGAGCCAAATGGGTGCTGGATCCTGGGGGTAGCAGGCTGGCTGCTCCTCAGCCAGCGGTGGGGCTGGAAGCTCTCAGGTTCAGAGAAGGTGGTGGGGTCCCGGGACACCACGTAGTGGCAGAACACAAACTGGGTCTATGAAGGAAGATTGGGCAGCATGAATGCATCTCTTCGGGGGCATGGGGCACTCCTGGGCAATCAGGCTGTCTAGCCCCACTCACATTCTTGGGGAAGAGGAAGCCATCAACTTCAATTTCCTTTTCTATGATCCGGGAATTTGTGGGGACCACAGGGTAGAGGCTGCAGGGAAAAGAATATCTAGGGTCTGCTCTGGATTCATGGGGGTAAAAAGTGCCCCACTCCTTCTCCCCTACCTCTCCCATCTCATCCTTGTCACTAGCCCCAGCCCACCTGTCTTCACTTCCGATTTCCTCCTCTGATTCCCTCCCCACACATAGATCCTGTGCCCCCCAGAACAGCATCCTGTCCTACCGCAGAGTCTCCTTAAGCACAGCTTTGAGCAGCGGCAAGTGGGCAAAGTCTTTGTGCTGGGGCACCTGCCCGGCTGGCACCACACCCACCACTTCCTCGTGCAAGGCCTCCTGGATCTCAGGGTCCTTTGAGAGGTGGTACAGGGCCCATGTCAGCGTGTTGGATGTCTAGGAGATAGAGTGGGAGATGAGGTGAGGGCGATTTCTAGGAAAGAGGCCAGTAATGGGAGGGTGTATGAGTGGGTGTGTGCAAAATATGGGAGAAATGAATTTGCCACAAGCCTAGCAGGAAAAAACATGAAGGTTCATGGCAGCCTCCATACTAAACATGAATTCACAGTGGGATGAGGGCCAACATGATAGAGAATCGCACCTTCACTGGAGGAGGGGATGGCAACACAGAAAAACCCAACAGGACAAAAGCATTGGAAATATGAACTATAAAGAAAGAAGGCACTGGTCGGACATGGTGGTTTATGCCTGTAATCCTAGCACTTTGAGAAGCCAAGGCGAGCAGATCACTTAAGGTCAGGAGTTCGAGCCCAGCCTGACCAGGTGAAATCCTGTCTCTACTAAAATTTAAAAAAAAAAGAAAAAAATGAGCTGGGCATGATCGTGCACGCCTGTAATCCCAGCTACTTGGGAGGCTGAGGCAGGAGAATTGCTTGAGCCCAGGAGGCAGAGGTTGCAGTCAGCTGAGATCAAGCCACTGCACTCAAGCCTGGGCAACAGAGTGAGACTCTGTCCCAAAAAAAAGAAAAAGAAAGAAAGTGTTTATGAATGAGCTCTTCCAATTCTCCATTCAAATCGCAGCAAGACAGTTGGATAGATGTGAGATGAACTTCCCAGCTGTCAGAGTGAGAAGACCCCAGGTGATGGAATCCATCTTAAAAAAGGACCATCCCCTGTCCACCCACCTCAGCTAAGCTGAACGAGCCCTCTATTTTCCTTCTAGTGCTGTATCCCTGGTACAGAAAAAGAAGCAGGTCCTTGGAGGGATGAAGGCCGGGATCAGGTGAAGGATAATGGGGAAATGGTTCAGGATGGGAGCCAGGGGCCCCTGGTCTCACTCTCCCCCTTCACTCACCGTGTCCACTCCAGCCATGAGCAGTTCAGGCAGGCTGCCCATGGCCTCCCGAGGACTGAGCTGTCCACTGGCCAGCAAGAAGTGCAGGTAGCCAGACACCTGGACACCATCTGGCCCCTCTGCCTGCAGTTGGGCCTCCATATCCTCGAGTTTCTCATCAATCAGCTTCTTCCCTGTGACAGCAACAGAGAAGAGGAGAGGACAAAGCCAAAAGTCATGATCTCCAAGGACCAAGAGCCACTCCAACAACTGGTAGCATGAGGGAAAAGGCCTGGGAGAGACCGCTGACGCACAGACCTGGAGTCACCCCCATCTCTCTTCCCTGGGCCCCATCCGGGAGTCCTCACCGAAGGAAAAGATGGCATTCCAACCATCCAGGTATCGCTTCCAGAAAGGCAGCACGGGGCGGGTCCACTTGGGGAGGAAGGTGGCATAGAGTGAGTTCTGGAACATTAACCCGATGGATCTGACAAAGGTCACGGTGTCCTCGGGGATGGATCGCTTCAGGCAGCCAATGCGTTTCTCGAACAGGATGTAGCAAATAGCTGAGTAGTGCACAGAGGCCATCACAGGAGGCAGAACCAGGACATATGGAAGCCAGCAGCCCTTGAGGAGCGGGAGCACAACCTCCCCCTGACCCATTCCCTTCCCTAGCGCCTCTCCCAGCAAGGGTACCTTCCAAGGCAAAGTAGTAGAAGAGTTGAGCTGTGTCCGACACCTGGTTCCCCGAAGCACTCTCTGCCCGCAGCTGGTCCAGTCGAATCATAACATCATCAATCACCTCATTGAAAGCATCCGTATAGAGCGCTGCCTCCGCTGGCTTCAGCAACCGCTGGTTCAGAGCCTGGCGCAGCTGGTACCAGTGGTGTCCTTCCCTGCAGGGACGCAGAGGAACAGCACAAACATAAGCCTCTATAGGGGTTCAATTAAGGGAGATCTTCTCACCCTAAAGTCCACCCCCTGCCACCCAGAGTCAAAGGAAATCCCATACTCCTAGAATTTAGAATTATAGAATCACCAAAATCTCAAGTGACAGAATCTTAGAATCCCCAAACCAGAATCTCGCTACAGCAGAGTGGAGTGGGTATGGTGGGCATCTAGAACCAGACTGTCCAGGGCCAAATCCCAGGTCTGACCATTCCTGGCACAGGGACCCTAGGTAGATAACTCCTGTGTGCCTCATTTCCCTTTCTATAAAATGGGGATAATAAGAGTGCCTAACCCGGGTGCGGTCGCTCATGCCTGTAATCCCAGCACTTTGGGAGGCTGAGGTGGGCAGATCACCTGAGGTCGGGAGTTCGAGACCAGCCTGACCAACATGGAGAAATCCTGTGTTTACTAAAAGTACAAAATTAGCCAGGCGTGGTGGTGGGCGTCTGTAATTCCAGCTACTAGGGAGGCCGAGGCAGGAGAATCGCTTGAACCTGGGAGGCGGAGGTTGCAGTGAGCCGAGATCGCGTCATTGCACTCCAGCCTGGGCAACAAGAGCGAAACTCCATCTCAAAAAATAAATAAATAAATAAATAAATAAATAAATAAAATAGAGTGCCTATCTGAGGAGGCTTATTCACATCATTCGAGTGCTTAGCTCAGTGCCTGGCACATGGTGAATGCTTAGTGATCATTGACTGATTATCTTGGAATTATACAGTTCTGGAATATTCCACATGTCAAATAAGGGGGAGCTGAGGAGGCTGAGGAATAAAGGAGGTTCCTGGACTCCTCAGGGTTCCTGAACTCCTCAGGCTCTGAGCCTTCATGCTGTGCTTGGCTCAGTGGGTCAGAGGGACAGGGAGGCCCACGAGGCTAAAGCTCTAGGCTCTTGCCTCAGTCATGCGGTAGATGGTCAGGACCCCTCCCTGGTTAGGTAAGGGTGCTCACGTGGGTGGAAACATACTTCCCAAAAGCAAGCTTAATGTCCAGAGACTGCCCCCACTCCCAGCTGTTCCTCAAACCTATTTCCTTTCCTAAGCAAGCTGGGTATGAGTCCATTTTCTTAAAGGCTAGCTATAGAGCAACAAGTACAATATGGTCCAATTTTAAGAGGAGACAAAATCCTACCTATCCACATGTATATTTGCATGCTCCTGAATAAAGAGGGGAGAATACACAGCAAACTGTCAGCACTGGTGGCTAAGGAGGATCGATAGGAATGGAAGGGCAAGAGACTTCATATTTTATTATTGAAATTTCCACGGCAAGTATTACTTTTGGATTTTTAAAACCAATAAAGTTGTTTTTTGTTTGCTTTATTTTGTTTTGTTTTTTGAGACAGAGTCTTGCTCTGTCATCCACTCAGCTCACTGCAACCTCCACCTCCTGGGTTCAAGTGATTCTCCTGCCTCAGCCTCCTGAGTAGCTGGAACTACAGGTGCGTGCCACCACACCCGGCTAAATTTTTATATATATATATTTTTTAGTAAAGACAGGGTTTCACTGTGTTAGCCAGGATGGTCTCGATCTCCTGACCTTATGATCTGCCCGCCTTGGCCTCCCAAAGTGCTGGATTACAGGCGTGAGTCACCACCCCCAGTCAAGTTTATTTTTTTAATACATATTTTTTATTTTAAAAAATTATTATTTCTTTAATGACTTTCAACATCCCACCCCAGGAGCTGCCTTTATTATGTTAGGGGAAAATTGCAAAAAGATAAACTAAAAGTGTTGCTGAAAAAGAAATGAAAACCAGAATAGACCCATTTGTTGGGACTTCAAGTTGTTCCAAAAGTAAAACTCTCAACAGTAGGAATCAGATATACAGAACTTAAATGTGGTTGTTAAAATATCACCTGGGGGAAACAATGGTTCATAAAATGATATTTTACAAATATATATGTTAAAACAAAAATTTTAGATCCCCAAACTTGTCATGAGTTAGCAGAATAGCTTTTTTTCCCCAATCATCTGACTCAAAGATTCACAAAAGAGCTTTTAAATGCATGCATATGATATCATCTGTTCAGGAAACTGGCTTCAGAGTAAAAAAAAAATGTAAATAGATTACAAAGGGCTCTACATAATGTTTAGCTCCGATTCTAAATCTGAGCTGTCATGTCATAGGTGGCCTGGCCCAATGAAAACCTGCAACCTAAATCTTGCCCTCAGTGGCAGATGTCAAGTTAAAAAGATTTTTTTTTTTTTGAGATGGTGTCTCACTCTGTTGCCCAGGCTGGAGTGCAGTGGCATGATATCGGCTCACTGCAACCTCCACCTCCTGGGTTCAAATGATCCTTCTGCCTCAGCCTCCCAGATGCCCACCACCACACCCGGCTAATTTTTGCGTTTTTAGTAGACAGGGTTTCACCATGTTGGCCAAGCTGATCTTGAACTCCTGACCTCAAGTGATCTGCCTGCCTCAACCTCCCAAAGTGCTGGGATTACAGGTGTGGTTTTTGCCATAATTTTTAACTGTGAAAACAGCAATGACTTTTGCACCAACCTAATATTTATTAGTGGAGAGTCAATGAATGGTCCTTGGGCTTCAGCACCTCCCAACAACTGCTCTCTAGACTATCAGGTTCAGAGGATGCAGGGGGGTCCTATTCTGCTGGTTATCCACCTGCCTGCCCTGTGCCCACTGTCTTTCACCCTGACCCTCTATAGCCCCGTTCCAGTCCCTTCAGTCCCCAGCTCACGTGGTGAACGGCCCATAGGTCAGGTCGTGCAGGTCCCGGTGCTCCTTCCATAGCTCCATGTCGTTCCGTACTGGGTACTTGCCCTCTTGCCGCATCACTTGCTCCAAGAGCGGGGCACTGGCCAGGTTCACGTGCATCTGAGGCCCTAAGTAGGACATCCACATTGGACCGTACTTGGCCTTGTAAAGCACCTGTGGGATTCAATCAATACTGAATAACTGGGCCAAGTTGGGCAGGTGCTTCCAGGACAGGAGATGGGGTGAGGAAGGGTCTGATGGCTACACCAGAGCAAATGGGCTGGACAAAAAAAAAAAAAAAGTACATTGTGTATGAGGTAGGCACCAGGATGACCTGTTGGTCCAGAGGAAGAGCAATAAAAAAAAAATGGGCACACAAGTAACTAGAATATTAGAATATTAGAGCAATGAGTGTCTGGTGGAACTAGGGGCATCAAGGTCCTTGGAGGAATGAAGGTTTGGAAAAATGGGATATATAGCAAACTGAGGTATGTCAAGGTGTATGTTGGGGGCCAACATTTTAGGGAAACTGAGCCCTTAAGTGAGGTGTGATAGAAAGCCTCTAGCTCCTTTTGTGCATTTAAATCTACTGTAGCTTGTTGTCAATGAAATGATGAATGCTTTGTGTAATCAACAAGAAAAGAGTAGCCTGATGAGGAACAACAGGAAAAACAACAGGCTGGATAAGAAAGTCAGGGTCCAAATATGAAGTAAGTAAGCCATGTGGTATGATATTTATTTCCCATGAGTTTCCTGAGCTTCCATATGATTTTGTCTTTGAAATCTAACATGACACACAAAAAAAAAAAAAAAAAGAAGTAAAAAAAATTACTGGCCATGTTATGGACTATAACTCTCAAATATTTTATCTTAGAATTTCTAAAGCACTTGACAATTGATATCCATAGCCTCTATGAAATTGACATTGCTATAATATTCTTATAGTTGCTGAAAATGAGAGGGAAAAGAAACATGTTTCAGGGGATAAAAATTTTAAATAACCCACAAATCCTGAGATTAAATTTCCTAGATAAGTTACACTTACAAACCGAAAGAAAATGAAACATAGTGGTTTCCTGGGCACTTCATCTTTCCTAATCTGTTACTGAAGAGATTTTAAGAGGATCAGAATCGGTTCCAGTATAGAAATTAGGCCAAAGAGCTTCTATAAAACAGACATTACCAATTACAGAGATGAAATCTATCATTCAAATTACAGAAGGAAACCTCACCCAATCCATAGTCCAGAAAAACTCCAACTTACTGGGTCTTAGTATTGGTGTTAAACCCTGGATGCTCCTAGGACCAATCCAACATAATTGCCTTCAATATATCACCCATTTACCTGGACATCACCCTGAACCGATGGCTGATTCTGCCAATTACTGGGAGGACAGTCTTGACAAACCCCCAACATGCATTTAGACCTGTTTCCCATTTCTACCTCCCAGGAACACCTGACAGTGTGTCTTAATTTTGAACAGTTGATCGTCTGTAAACTGCAGTGAATATGCCTATTTTCCTGGAAGGAAAATATACTGCTGGTAGGACTCCAAAATAACACATCCCTACTTGGAGGACGATTTGTTAATATTTAAAAAAGTACAAGCAAATTTATAAACAAAGCATAGGACATCCACATAATGAAATAATATGTCACCTTAAAAAGGGATGAAGAAATTCCTTGTGTACTAATACAGAAAGATATCCAAGATAAATTGTTATGTGAAAAAGTATATCTTTTGTCTAAGAAAGGGGGTCTAAAATAAGAATATATAGTATTTGTATTTGCTTTTATAGAAAAATACTGGATGGATACATAAGAAACTAGTTAAAGTGATTACTGGACCAGGCATCGTGGCTCACCCCTATAATCCCAGCACTTTGGGAGGCCAAGGCAGGAGGATCACTTGAGCTCAGAAGTTTGAGATCAGCCTTGGCAACATGGCAAAACCCTGTCTCTACAAGAAAAAAAATTAGCTGGGCATGGCAGTGTGCACCTGTGATCCCAGCTACTCGGAGGCTGAGGTGGGAGAATTGCTTGAACCTGGGAAGTCGAAGCTGCATTGAGCCATGACTGTACCCACTGCACTCCAGCCTAAGTGACAGAGTGAGACTCTGTCTCTAAATAAATAAATATAAAGTGATTACTATAGGAGGGTCAGGGGAATAGCAGAGGGGGTCAGACTGCTTAATGTGTATCATGTTCTATTGTTTGAGTTTTGAACTATTATAATGTATTACCTATTCAAACTTTTAAAATCTAAAGGTACAAAAAGAAATGTTTTCTGAAACAGTAAGTCACCTGACATTGACCAGATAGTTCCAGAAGGCAGGGAAACCTTTCTGAGCCTCTGAATTCATGCAAATACTCCTGAGATTTATAAGTGCCCCAGCCATATCATTTTCCTATAAGTGAGTTTTGGTTTTTTTCTTAAAGGTTCCTTTTAAAAAATACTTTACAGTCCGGGCGCAGTGGCTCAAGCCTGTAATCCCAGCACTTTGGGAGGCCGAGACGGGCAGATCACGAGGTCAGGAGATCGAGACCATCCTGGCTAACACGGTGAAACCCCGTCTCTACTAAAAAATACAAAAAA